TTTTCTTCTACATGCCCCTTAAGCCGGAAGTGGCAAAAGCAATCCTCACCTTGGAGTGTAAGAGGAACAAACAACTACAGGAAACATATGTGTCTCTAGGAATACAAGTATTGGCTGCAGCATACCACACTCATTTGAATGCAAGTGTGAATTGTTTTAGACCGTTAATGACACAAGGGTTGTCTTTTTGTGGTTATAGTGAGCAAGAAAGTATTGTGTTTGATGAATATGTTGTCACTGTTGGTAGAAAATATCCCTTGGTAGATAAAGTAGTAGCATTTCAGTATAGTAAAATATCGTAGAGAATACATGGAGGATTGATGGCCTATTATAGGCATCCATCATAAGTCCAAAGTCTAGTCTACGTGGGCTTGAACCAAATTAATAATACATCTCCAAGCTAATGGGCGAACCAGACCGATAAATAATTAATGAGCAAGGGTGACTCCCGCTCGTGAGACTGCGTCCTGGGCCTAGTTGGGCCTAAGCTCAGGGATAACGGGCCGATGGCACTGGGCCCGGCCCATTATTCCAACACAAGTCCCCCACTCCCTTAGTCGAGTAGTAGATTCGGCTAAAAGGGAGTAGTTGAGTTGCTTTGAAATCGGCCTGGTTGCCAGGCTATGTAGCTAGTTACATAGATGTTCGTTGATGGTGACGATTTGTGGTGTGCCTAGAAAGGTCAGACATGTAAATGTCCACTATGGTCCCATTGTTTGCGCAATGATGAGACATTCCTTGTCTGGGTAGCAGCCTGGGGTTCTGCAGGTTACCTGATCAGCAACCCGGGATCTTCTTTGTTCATTCTGGGAAGACTTCTTCCTTTGTTTATGATGAGGGGATGCCTCGATAAAACCTTACTAGGAAAAAACCCAATGGGAAAAAATTCTAGTGAAGGAAAAAGAGTACACTGGAACCTTAAAATGAAGCAAAGGAAGGCTAGTCCCCTCAGTTCTTGATTGAGTGTCTGGCTTACTGGTAAGCCGATATATGTTTGGGAAAAGCCAGTTGCACGGTTGTTTGCCAGTGGTGCCGGTCAAGCCACAGTGTGCTCGGGAGAGACCACCCGCATAACTGTTTGTTGATGATGTCGAATCAAGGCATGCCCATGAGAGGCCGGTCGCAGAGCCGTCTGTTGATGATGCCGAGCCGAGGTATGCTCGGGGAGAGGGTGGCTCCACAGATGTGCACATTAATCCCTACTACTTGCGAGAGAATAGGGTTTCCTACATCTGGGTAGCAGTTCTAGATCATGTTTGTCTTATTAGCCACCCGAGGTCTTGTTCTTCCGATTAGCATCCTGGGGTCTTGTTTGTCCGGTTAGCACCTCACGGTCTTCTTCCAAATTAAGCAAAAAGGTGAGCCCTCCGGCCACTGCATGCAGCTGCAACGGTCCCCATATGCTAAGGGAATGACAAAGACCGATCTTCACTTGTGAGCAATGCTCGTCTGACGTTCTCGGGAGGATGCGGTGAGTAATCCACCAAGATAAGTAGTCCTTGTTGATTGTTATTATTACTTGTTACATACATGGCAGGTAGGAGAGGTGCTCTCGTTGCTTTAGCTATAGTGCAAGATGCTAAGTCTCGGTTTAAAATCAACAACGAGACAAGTCAAGAAATTGACGCCACAACTCAAAAAATTAATGAAATCTGAAATTTCTTCCGAAAAAAACAAAAGCAATGAAATGAAAACTGAAATTGCAGACAAATAACACATGAGAAGATGAAGAAGTAGAAGAAGAAGAGGGGAGGAGTGAAAGAAGAAGAAGAAAAACATGAGGACGAAGGAAATACCATTTGAGCGAGCTTGGGACAGAAAAATAGGCGGCGGCGGCAGAAGAAGAAGCGGAGAAGAGAAGAGGAGTGCGGCTGCGGCGAATAGGAGCGGCGGAGTGAGCCGATCTAGAGAGCACAGGTTAAGCAGCCATGGCCGAAGGGAGAGTCCATCGATCCAGAGGGGAGCGATGCGATGAATTCCTAGGGTTTTCATTTAATTATATAGGAGGGTATTATGGTAATCCGAAGTCCTATTTAGGGAATACAAAACATGTGATCCTATTTATGCATTTGACTTTACTTATAGTCTTATACTCCTTCCGTCCCGTTGGAATGTTCCCGGTTTGACCTACACACATATTAAGGAAATAAACTTACCAGGGGGTAAATTTTACTGTTTTGACACTGTTTGGCACTGTTTCGACACTGTTTGACACTGTTTTGCACTGTTTGACCCTGTTTTGATGTAGGATAACTTTCTATTTAGGGAAATGGGAACTTTCCAACGGGACATCCAAAAAAGGAGAGCGGGAACATTCCAACGGGACGGAGGGAGTATACGACAATTACTTTTTCCTTTTTCTCTTTTTGTTATTCAATTTTGCTGTTTGAGATTGTGATTTTGGAAGACAAAGAGAGCTTACTGTAGACAAAGGAACCCTTGCTGCTATTGATCTCAAATGAATTTTATATTAAACTCAAGAGAGATTTACCTAAATAGGACTAAAACTAGGTAGAATTGAAAAAACAGAACTGCTATGTTTTATTTGACAAAAATAGGACTAAAAAGAAGTAATCTACCAAAATTACCCTTAATTAAAGCCTACTGCTATGTCGCGCTACTATTGCGATGCACAACGGCCTCCATCGTTGTTGCTGCTTCTAGCGGTGCTGCCACAGTCCATCAATAGAATCATCACCGCCGTCCAATCAGACCACAACCTCCGCCTGCCACCCTCCAGTGAGACACCAACCACCATCAATCATTAGTCCAGGACCTCCTCCTGCAGCAAAATCACAAAATAGGACCATAGCTTAAAAACTTATTAGGTAGGTAATCTCTTCTTTTTCTTCCTAGTTCTCTGTTTTGTTTTTAATTTTTTATCAATAAGATTTTAAATAAAATTTTGATTTTTGAAAGTTTCAAATAAAGATATACCTGAACTTGAATTTCTTGTTATCAATTACAGAAAATGACACTTTTGAATAAGAGAATGTCATAATTATTGGGTATTTTTACAAAATGACACTTTTATGTCATTACAATATTTGAAATTGACATATTGAGAATGCCACGTTTCTATACAAAATTGTCATTATTTTGTTATTATGCATATTAAGTGGCATTCTTAAAACATGTCAATTTTTGAAAAATGAAATCTTGTGTAGTCTGATGTTAAAATAATGTTGGCATTTTGGAATAGAAAGATGACATTTACAGTTATTAAAACATGTCATTTTCGAGTAAAGATGACCTTTTCGAATTACAGTGTCTAAAATAATCTGAAATTTAAAAGAAGAACAAAACAGAGGGGAAGAAGAAGGAGAAGGAGAAGGAGAAGGAGAAGAACGAGGAGGAGAAGAAGAAAAAGAAGAAGATGCGGAGGAGGAAGAATACACGGGGAAGATATTACAGCTGCGATGATGGCGGTTGAGCTGCGTCTATGGCAGCTGGGGAAGAAATTACAGCTGCGATGATGGCGGTTGGGTTGCGTCCATGGCAGCTGAGTCGCAATCGATGTAATCGCAGGCAACTGCTTCATTGCAATCGCAGGTGCGATCGAAGCAGAGGTGTGATCGATGCAGAGGGATTGAGGAAAATGTGATTTAGGGATCAGGGGTAAAAAAGTAATCTAGAGTCCCATTTATGCAATTTAAAACTGCAAGTCCTATTTTGGAGTTTTAAGCATGTTTTAGTCCCATTTAGAACAATTTCTTTAAACTCAAATGAGTATACACATAAAAGTAATGAACATACACAACTTAATATTAAGCACGTTAAAAATGAGTTTTTTATTAAATACAAATGAGTATACACATAAAAGAAATGAACATACATAATTGAATATTAAGCACATTAAAAATGAGTTTTATTTTAAATTCAAATAAGTATAACGCCCAAAATCAATGAACATACACAAATGAGGTTTTGAATTTTTTGATACTTATTTTGTAAATAATGTATATTTATTTGGTACTGCTTTATGCTCATTTTAAAATGTTGCACATATAAAACATACTCCCTTCGTCCCATTGGACTTTGCCAACTTTCCCTTTTTTGTTATCCCAAAAAACTTTGCCACTTTCCTATTAAAGTAACTACTTCGTGGTTCTGCACATTTCTCTTTCCTCTTCACAAATTTCAACCACAAGTTTTTACTATTTTTATTTCTCACCTACTTTGCATTTGGCAAAGTTCATCGGGACGGAGGTAGTATCATAGTACATTAGATTCACATATTGAAATTAATTGAAATTGATTATAAACATCATTTAATAATATTTTTATAAACAAAAAAATAATAAAAAGAAACCGAATCAGAAGATATGAAGCAAAGATCACTAGTGCTCATTGTTAAATTCCTAATATTCAAAAGAACAAACTGGATGCTTATGCAAATTGCATCAATGCTCATTTGAGAGATATCATGATTATTACAAAAATTACAAAACTGTCACTGACGATACGGTGTCAGCTGTACAACTGCTGTATGATACTCCCTCTGGTTCTCAAACAACTTTCCACTTTCCTTTTCAGAAAGTCTTGAAATTAACTTTACACTTCTTCTTATTTCCTTATTTGGCAAATTATCTACACCAAAATAATGCAAAACAGTGTCTAAACAGTGTCAAACAGTGTATAAACAATGTCAAACAGTGCACTGCACAGTAAAACCAAATTTAATTTCTTAAACCGTGTGAAGTCAAAGCGTGAAAGTTTTAGCGGAGGTAGTATACGCTTCCAAAGAAGTAGGACGAGTGATAACAATTAACAAAAGAAAAGCTCCCATACCCCCTTCGTCCTCCCCTGTCCATATTCTTCTCTTCCAAATTGAGACACACAAAATGTGTCAGAAGTATTCGAATTTGTTTTTTTTTGTTTATTGTTTTAATGGCATTTGCAATAAAAGTACGAAAAAAGTTGGAAATCTACAACCACTTTGTCGTACAGAATAGGTAGTATGGGGATGGTCAAATGCCATACTGACCCACCCACCACCCCTCATCATCATCATGCATAAAACAGCTCACTCGTGACATTACAGCTTGCAACGTAGTTAACCGGCAACCGCCGGTCACCATCCTCCACCGACAACTACTCTCCTTCCTCCGCCCTTCCATCTCCACTTTCGCTTAATTAATTGCCATTTCACTAATATAGTTTAAGGAATCGCCATAAGTTTCAGTTCTTCACCGACATTGCTCCCGCTGTATAGATTGTGTGACAAGGAATGGCGGGGCAGGAGGCTTCCTCTGCCTTTTGAAGCAACCTCTTCTTGCTCAATCTCTCCTCATCTTAGTAGAAACGGCTTTTTTCTGTAAGTCGAAACCGTACGTTTTTCAATGTATAGTTTTGCTGTCTGTCGTCTTGCTGAATGACCTATTATAAAGCTCCGTTTATGGATTTCTTCATTATTGACTTTGACTGTCTTTGACTCATTGCGCTCAGTACGTAATTCTTTCATACCTCTAGAGAGCATGTTTTAGCATTAGCGTAATAGCGTTCTTTTGGGCGTATGGATTCTTATTCTGCGTTTTTTGTGTTTTTGGTTTAATTCTTCTATTGTTCTATATTGCTATTGCTGCTTCATTTTTCTCCCTCGAAATGGATAGTTGAAGTTAAATTTACTCCGACTCGGCATGTTTATACTTGCATTTACTTCCTTTGCTAGTGCTGTGGTTGACAGTTACCTTTTGCTCTGTGCAACCGTTTTATAACCACCACTCATGCCTTTTTTTTACTGAACCGCCCCCTTTCTCTTCTCTCCCAATGCTTCTTTTTAATTTTTTGAAATTGATTGGCTCATCATTGCTTAGAGGTTAGACTCAGATGGATTTTTTTGTTTGTTTTTTCAAGGTTTTATTTTGTTTCCCGCTTTTTGACTCTTCATTGATCTGAGTCTTTGTACATAATCGTTACTGGCATATGGTATGATGCTATTGTAGTGATAATTTCTTCTGTATCTGTAAGTTCCACGTGAATGCCTCGTTTGTTTTTTTTGTATTCCTCTCATTATATTACCGATTTGGTAAGCCTCAAACCGCGTTATTCATCTACAGCAAAACTATAAATGAAATTTATTGCTCAGATCGAATAAGGTAATTTTCTTGGTCCCATACTTCCTTTAAGTACAACAGAATTGATGAGTTGTCTTTGCATGTGCATGATGCCAATGCCGCTCCGTGATTTTATTTTATTACCAATGGGAGAATGAAAGGATAAGGAAATAAAACACACACCCATTGCATTCCATTGCAACTCTATAAGCAGTTTATATGTATATGGAAATATTGTACCGATGCGTTTTAATTTCATGGCTCGGATTCTCATTAAATTATCTTACTTATTTGTTAGTTAGTGCTTTGTGTCTGTAGATATTACACCAAGTATCCTGGATGGCTGGATGTAGAGTAGCAAAACCTGCACTGTACTTGTGACTGCTGACTAACAAGCATGTTCTTGTTATTGAAATTAGAATTTCATTATATATTTTGTACTTATTGTAGTTTGTACTTGGATATGCAGACAAACTTTTCTTCAGCTTTTGTTCAAGATACAGTTATATCCTATAGCTGACTCAAACCTTAGTGACTTAAAGGAATAGTTCACTAGCGTTAATGCTGCATAAGTTAGTCTGTAGGGGAAATCAGGATATAGGGAAACTGAAGGACATGTGTGTAAAACCCTTTCACTGACATAGAACAACCGCACAAGGTATTACTTGACAAGCATTTACTTAATTGCTGAGCTCATGAAAAGTAATGTTCATGGTCCCAAAGGGTGTCATATTCAGTTCTGTACGTATACGGTTATCAATCTAAATATATATATCATAAAGATTATGCTATTTCAGTAGAAACTATAAGCATTAATGCATTATGCCATTTCATACTTCGTAGATTTTATAGTTATCTTTTCAACATAAAGTTGGTCCCATCTTGCATTTATGATTTGAGTGATTCTTGCTAATTATGACTTCATTTCTCTCCCTCTTCAGTTTATAAGCTCAAATATTTGAAGCATGAGGGCGACTGAACGGAAACAAGTTCAAAAGAGTAGTCAAATAGCGCGTGCTTCGAGGCCAGAGAAGAAGGGCCAGAAGCCACAAGAGAAGAATGGTCGCAAAATCATGAAAGGAAAAGAAACAAGTATGAAAACTTCATCTCCTAATCAAGACTCGAGCACTTTAGTAAGTGATCTAAATACAGGTACAGAACACCCAGAATCTTATGAAACCGTGGTTATACACTATGTTGATGACATCAATAGGTCTGATGAAACAACTCAAGTGTCAAAAACACTCCAGATGGATGACAAGGAGAGTCATAAAAATTTAAGCGGTTATTCATGTGAGCAGGAAAATGATTCAAAGGAGGAAATGGAAGATGAATCTGATCCTGAAACAATTAATGGATCAGTATCATCATCTCAAGGAGATCCACAAACTTCAGAAGACAATAAGTTAGAAAAAGCTTCAATATTTCCCAGAGATGGATCCTCTGATAGCTCTTCCTTTGCACCCTCTACAAATGCTTATAACAGCATACAATTAAAGGCATCAAAAACTGCACCTAAAAATGCTATGGGCCCTGCAAAAGGTCCATCCAAAGTGTCAACTGACTCTGTACATAGTAATTCTAAAAATATGAAAGTCCATCCAAAAACAATAATAGAATCCTCAGAAGAGGTTGGTGATGGACTTTTTGAAGAGGTTAAACAAGCAGATACAAAAGATGAGGCTTCCAGCAGTGCTCGGAATTTTGTGAGTGATGATGAAACAGTCAACACATCAGAAGAATTTGATGAAGAAGACAGGGCTGCTTTAGAAAAAAAGGTGCAGGAAATGGAATCAAGGATTGAGAAACTTCAGGAGGAGCTGAGAGAAGTTGCTGCTCTTGAAGTTGCGCTTTATTCTGTAGCACCTGAACATGGGAATTCAGCACATAAGGTGCATAAGCCAGCAAGGCGCCTTTCCAGACTTTATATTCATGCTTGCAAAAATTGGTCTCAAGAGAAACGTGCCACGGTAGCTAGGAATATGGTTTCAGGCCTTGTTCTGGTTTCCAAGTCATGCGGTAATGATGTTGCAAGGTGCGTTTGTTGCGCCCATCACTAATCTAGATGCTAGATTTTCTTCTTTACTCCCTCCTTTCCACAATACCTTTATATTAAGGTAAATTGCAATCTTTAAGGTGATAATTAATTGTGTCATACTATCTTGAATTACAAACATGCCCTTATACATTTCTGGCAATCAGAAGTAACAAGCAAATGTTAAATAAATATGGAGGGCAACTTAGTCAGTTCACATTAATGGTCTTCTAAGTGGACCAAAATTTGTGAACAAAAGTACCTTAGCTTAATGGATAATTGTTTAAGAACCGAAGGAATAATTTGCTTGCTAACGATTGCCTTATGCCTTATTCTTAAAAAGGTTGACGTTCTGGCTATCCAATGCTGTTGTTCTGAGGGAAATAATATCACAAGCGTTTGGAAGTTCCTGTAGCTCAAACTCTCTTACTCAAATATCTGCATTGTCTGGAGGAAAGGGAGGTGATTGCGAACATTCATCACTGAAGTGGAGCTGCAGTTCTGGAAGCACACAATCTAAGCAAGGTGTATTGCATTTTATTGACAATTGGCAAGAATCAAGAACATTTAGAGCTGCCTTGGAAAGAGTGGAGTCTTGGATTTTTTCTCGGATAGTTGAGTCAATATGGTGGCAGGTAAATAATCCGCAGGGAGATTTTGCAGCTGCGGATGAGCTTTTGTATATTAGGCAAACAAGACTGTTGGGTGTTAGGGTCCACTTGGAACCCAGAATATGCAGCAGAAAGTGGGAGGAAAAGAGGGGATATTTGTAAGGAAAGAAAATTTGGAGAAAAAATATAAAAATGTTCCAAATCTACTAAATCAATTTTACATTTTTACATAATTGTTCCACCCCCCCCCCCTATAGGGGTAAGGCTGCGTACATCCGATCCCCCCTTACCCCACCGTAGGTGGGGAGCCTTTGCGGCACTGGGGTAATGATGATGAATGAATGATTGATGACATAATTGTTACAAGGTATATTTAGAGATAAATGACATTTAAGGTGAAACCTAACATACGAAACTTTAGGTAAGGATAAGGAACATTACTTTGTTGTGTTTAATTGCTTCTGAATATCTTTTTATTTCCCTATTGTTTTCAAAGTTCCAAATGAACCCTTGTAGATTGATTAGGGAATTTCTCCTGTGGTGTTTGCTCCACCAGTAGAACTGCAATAATCAAATCTGGCAACATAAAACTATTTTAGAAATCCATAAATTAATTAGGTTTTATATGTGACTGGCACATTTATTCCTTAGACATTGAGAAGCAGCTTTATGATCTTTTTTCCAAGTAATATGCTTCTTAATTAATGCTGATTAGTTCTTTGTGTTCAGGACTTTACTCCAAATATGCAATGTCAGATTAGTCATCTATCAATTGGAAATACGGTGGGGAAACTACTTGGTCCCGCCTTAGGTGACCAAGAGCAAGGGCGCTTCTCAATTGATCTATGGAATAATGCTTTCAAAGATGCTTTTACGAGATTATGTCCTGTTCGGGCTGGTGGGCATGAATGTGGCTGCTTGCCTGTTCTGGCAAGAAGGGTATGTGTACTCGTCTACTTTCAGTAAGGAAAGTAGAACTTTCGATAGATATTCTTCTTTACTTTCTACCTTTTATGTATTATCAGGTAATGAAACAATGTGTTGCGAGATTAGATGTGGCAATGTTCAACGCTATTCTTCGCGAATCAGCTCATGAGATCCCAACTGATCCTGTTTCGGATCCAATAGTTGAGTCAAAGGTTTTGCCTATTCCAGCTGGGGATTTAAGTTTTGGATCTGGTGCTCAGTTAAAAAATTCAGTAAGTTATACACAATCTTTGTAGTTTTAGGGTATGTTTGGATTCCTGGAAAATGTCAAGGAAAGGGGAAAAAGACAAGGAAAGTTAAGCTTTGTTTGTATGAATTTACCTTGGAAATGGAAACGATGTTGATATGCGATTAAATTAAAATGCTACAAATATATATTTTTTTGTCTTCATAAATACAAATATATTTTTTACGAAATGCATAACTTTTTACAAATTCTACACATAACTTTTTGCCTTCACATATACAAGTACATCCAACCCCCCTTACCCCACTATAGGTGGGAGCCTTTGCAGCACTGGGGTAATGATGACGACTTAACTTTTGATTCCGTGCGTTGAAATGCATAATAATCAAAATAAGTAAGGTAGGAGTTGCTTTAATGATTGAGTTGGCTTATACTGCTGAAGAGAACTTTTTTTAGCTATTTTGCATATAATTGTTTCGTTATTTTATTAATAAAATATATTTTAACTATAATATTTTCATAATTCAGCCGATTCAACGAATTCAGCCAGAATTTCACCAATTTCAGCAGATTCAGCCAATTTAGTCAATTTTATTGTTACCAAATGGGCTCATAATTTAATATATTGTGTTTAATGTGAATACTGCCTTTGTCCTAAATGAAGTTGCAGTTCCTCCATGAAAAGAACATTGCTTTCTGCTTGTTTTCATTGGTTAAGTTTGAATTGTTGGCTAAATATCATTGATAGTATTAGTATTATTATTATTATGACTATTATTATTATTGTTGTTGTTGTTGTTGTTGTTCTTGGTGTTGTGGTTAGTATTGTTATTGTTAGGGAAAATTCCCGAAGTAGGAGTATAAATGTTTGAGAATTCCAAAGTAGGACTACAATGTTTTTATTTTCCAAATTGGAGTAATTACTGCCAAGCTTGGAAAATACTTTCATGTTTAAAGTCTGATACTGCCAAAACATGACAATAATGACTCCTATTTTGGAAATAAAACATGATAGTCCTATTATGGAATATACAAACTTTTTTAATCTTATTTAGGGTAATTTCCCTTGTTATTAGTATATTATTATTATTATTATTACTACCACTACCACTTTTACTATTTTTATTTTTAATAACAGTTCCTTTGAGGTTGCATGCGCATATATTTATAGGAATCAAGAACCGAAACATTAGCATCCACAAGGTACTGAACCATTTAACAAAACTCATTTGTAGGAACTCTACCGTTCCAAAATCCCACCCCTAGGTCACTGGGTGTAATTAGACAGTAAAAAAACTTAAACTTGCATTCTTGCGTAAGTTTGCGTGCAGGTCAAACCGAGAACTTGTTTTCGGGATGGAGGACGTATAATAAATAAGTTTATTGATCATGACTACATCTTTTATTTTCCCTCAAATCTTCTTTCCTTCCGATGTCCTTTTCTATTTTCCTCCTGTTTTTATTCCCTCCCATTTTCAGAGTCTCAATATCTCAACCTATGTTTTAAACACAGATTGCCGAATATGATCTGCCATCACCCCCACTCTTTCATATACTGGCAGCCTGGTGCACGAAGGTATCCTGCAATGCGAGGGTCCGGGGGAAGGCTCCCACCACAGTGGTGTATAAGGGGCAAGTCTTGGGACAAGTGATCGCTCCCAAGACTTGATCCCGTGACCTCATGGTCACTCAGCAACTCCTTACCCGGTCTGCCAATGCTCCCCTTCCACCACACCCTTCTATAGCTTACAATAAAATTGTGATCGCCTTTGTTAATAATGTTTCCTAATCTTAGTTTACAGTTTTTGCCCTTCTGCTATCCATTATGATTTTGGTCATTTTATTCTTTTTTAGTTTTGATATCCTTAACATTCTTTCCAGGTTGGCAATTGGTCTAGAAGGCTGACAGAATTATTTGGCGTTGCTCTTGGTGAATCAGCCAAAAATGACTTTAGCAAATCTGAGTATGACGGTAAAGGAGAAGACGGAGATGAACAACAAGATCACTTCAATCTTCTCAATGCCTTGAGTGACCTTCTAATGCTTCCAAAAGACATGCTTATGGATTCAACAATCAGAATGGAGGTAATATCATTTGAATACGTATACTTTTCAGAATGTTTGGAATCCACGTCATTAAGCATTTCATTACACTGACTATCTGACTGTTGCCCCAGGTTTGTCCATCAATACATCTTTCCTTGCTCAAGAGAATCCTCTGTAATTTCTCTCCGGATGAATTTTGCCCTGATCCCGTCCCTGGTGCCGTGTTAGAGGCCGTCAATGCTGAGGTTTGACTATTACTTTACTTATCTTGGTAGTTGTATTTAGGGTTAAGCCAGCGTAGTCTGCATCCCCTTATTTGGTTGGAGGACATTAGCCGTGTTTGCGCTAGCTTAAAAAAAACTCTTTTCTGCTTTTTGCTAAAAATGCTAAAAGTAGTGTTTTTAAACTAATTTTTCAGCTTAAATTTATGCACTTTAAAGTTAAAATCTTATAAGCAGGGAGAAGGGTGTTTAAAACTGTTTTTCATTTTTTTCCTATCATATTTTACATACATAATCCCCTTTTCCATTTTCAAAGTTACTCTTACTAACACACTAAATTTTGCATTTTCAAACGCTCTTATTGCTTTTAAGCACCACCAAATTTAACTATTTGGCACTTTCACAAGATAAATCACTTCTCTCAAGACACAATTCAAATACAAGCAAACACGAACACTAGATTGAAGTTAAGTACTCTTGTGTGTGTTATTTGGGGAGTCCTGAGAGAGGGAGAGGAAACTAGAGGAGTTATGGTTCCAACAAATCTCCCTATATTTCACTCACCCAATTTGGGGTATTCCAGATGAATGATCATTTTCCTCAATTTATTGTCAGTTTTTAATATCAAAACCGCTCCATAACACTATATTGTTTTAAGTAAAGTTAATTTTATTCTTAATTACAACAAAAAACCATAGCCTCTTTTCCAAAAAGAGACATATTTGGTAAAGGGTACTATTAATTTTGACAATATACCACTCTTAAAACTCTTGTGATTACATCAAATTTTGTTCAATGAAATATGACTCTTTTGTACAAAAAACCATTTAAAATACCGCTCTTTGTATGACAGTGGGAGTTTATATACTAAAATATTTTTAATAATTTTCCCTACCCGCTCATCCATTGAACCACATAACATTTTAAAAAAATTCCATCATCTTCCCTCCATGCCCTTCCATCCCCTTTTCATATTTCTTCTACCCACTTTTGAACCAAACAATGGCTAAGCGAAGAAAACAGGTCATTATTCTCACATGCGACAACGTCACATTGTGTAGACATTTAAAGGTCACCCGCAATAACCTATTATCACCTCCATCAAGTGATCTGGGACAGATTTTGGCAGAACCTAGAAGTACTTCTAGTCAACTTAGTAATATGTGCCAGCATATTAACTTTTGCTGTCTGTCTTTCCTATTTACAGTGCATCATAGAGCATAGATTATCAGCCGAGCGCACTGGCAGCTTCCCTTACCCCGCTGCTCCAGTAGTGTACACTCCTCCTTCATCAGCTGATGTTGCAGAAAAGGTTGCAGAGGTTGACAGGAAGTCCCAGTTTTCTCGTACCTCTTCTTCCATACAGAGGAAGGGATACACGAGCGATGAGGAACTGGATGAAGTAGGTTCTCCTCTCGCATTTATAGTTGACAAAACACCGACTTCAACACATTCCAAGAATGGAAATCTTAAAGGCAACCATGAAGAAAAAAGTATATTTGGATCCAATGCAAGATATGAACTTCTCCGGGAAGTCTGGCGAGCAACTTAGCTTGATGTCCTAATTTCTTCATGGTAAACACTCCCAAAAGGTGAAAATCAAATTACAGATACCGAAAAGAGTGTTCTGAAGGGGATGTATGTGAAATATCTCTTCAAAGATAACAATCTCTTAAATACAAAGATTGCACATTTTGTCAAATATTTACTGCAATGTATGTTACACATATCAAGAATCCAAAATGTGGACTTGTACACACACACAATAGAACTATGGTCGCTCCAGGGAAAATAAGTATAAAATCCGTGCATCCATTTGACTCAATCGTGAACCGGCCCGGTCCGGGCCAAATTATTTATTTTTTCTTTTCTTTTTGAATTTTTTTTAAGTTTTTGGGTTGGGCTGGGTATGATGGGCCATTTGAGATGGTTTGGGGTGGTTTGTGGGTGAGGGGGGAGAGTTGGGGGTTAATTAGGAAAAGCCAAAAAAAAAATAAGAACAGAGGCCCGGCCCGGACTGGACCCGGGGTTACCCGGGCCGGTTCCGGGCCTCCCCTTTCATGAACCAAGGCCCAGCCGGGCCCGAACTGGAACCGGTCCACCCCTACATTTGAGGTCTAAAAACGTTAAGGTAAAATGAATTAAACTTTGTGCCATCTTAAAAAAGTGAATCACTTAAGTGCAATAGTTCATCAAATTAATTCAAAAGTGAATTCACTAGTAAGCGGAGAAAAAGAAAATACTACGTAGTAAAATAAGTTCAATTAGTATGCAAGGCGAAAGGAACCATGCATGTACTCTGTGCTTGTCCTGCTGCCAAATACAAAGTAAAAAAGAAACATAGATAGAAACAACATGAATTCCGATATAAGGTAGGCTCAACAATAATCTACACTAAATCTAAATGTCAATCTCAAACTGATCATAAGGCACGGGGGTAGTCTGACTAGTTCATCGCCTGAAAGTCAAGGAACTCCTCAATGTTTATGTTGCAAGTGGGATCCAACAGCCAATCCGTCTCAGGATGGACCTGTCCCTGCAGCCCATCTGATAGCCCATCTTGACCTACAACCGGGAAGATGTTACTGCCCACCCCTGCAGTTACTTGTTGAACTTGTTCTTGATGTCCTTGGCCTGTTTGAACTGGGGCCGCCACATGACCAGTTAAGGTGTGTTGTTGTTGTCCTTGGCCCATTTGAATTGGCGCTGCCACATGACCAGTTAAGGATTGTTCTTGTTGTCCTTGGCCCCTTTGAACTGGGGCAGACACATGACCAGTTAAGGTGTGTTGTTGTTGTCCTTGGCCCATTTGAATTGGCGCTGCCACATGACCAGTTAAGGATTGTTCTTGTTGTCCTTGGCCCCTTTGAACTGGGGCAGACACATGACCCGTTAAGGCGTGTTGTTGTTGTCCTTGGCCCATTTGAATTGGCGCTGCGACATGACCAGTTAAGGCTTGTTCTTGCTTTCCTTGTTCCAGTTGAACTGGGGCCGCCACGTGATGAGTTAAGGGTTGTTGTTGCTGTCCTTGTCCCATTTGGTGATCTGGGGCCACCACATGACCAGTTAAGCTGGCAGTGGCAACTGCTAGTATACCCCCCCATGATGATGATGCTAGGTTACTTCCTTCACAAGTTGGCTCAAGCTGTCCTCTACTCTCGTTGTTGAAGTTCACACTAAGCACTTTGTCCTGTCCTTGTCCAACTGTTGGGATGTTGCAAGCAGAAGTAGCAGCAGATGTGAAGTAAGCATTGGGGTTCTGGGGTGCATATGAGGGTTGGATAGCAACACCACCTTGTAGTGGATTTGCACCTACGATGTCGTTGCTGACTGGTAAATGATAACTATTTTTGTCATTGTTACTGTTGCTGCTTACTAGCGGATAATATCGGTTGGTGTTGTTGGCTGTGTTGTTGTTGTTACCGTTGCTGCTTACTAGCGGATGATATCGGTTGGTGTTGTTGCAGATGGCGTTGTTGATGGTACTATTGCTGCTTATTAGCGGAAGATAACATTTGTTGTTGGTGGTGGTGGTGTTGTGACTGTCGCTGCTGCTTGCTAGCGAATGATAACTTGTGTTGTTTGTGGCAGTGGCGGTGTTACTGTTGGTGTTGCTCACTAGCGGCTGATAACGGTTGTTGTAGCTGCCGCTACAGTTGCTAGCATTTGCTGGTAATGTGGGGGTGTTCCACCTAGATCCGTAATCTCCCTGTGAAACAAGTAATGTATTAATGTAAACTTAATAGTTCCTGGATCTTTGGCTTGCTATATATGACGTACGTACCTGCGGCAGCGGTGGCGGCAGGTTGAGAAGGTTAGTAGCAGGACTGGTTGATGATGATGAGTAGTTGCCAACTTGAAACATTGGGCTACGACCGACGTCACCCATGGACGAGTGAATGTTTTGAGGAGGGTTGGAGCTAGGTGATGATGTCATGCGTATCATATCTTCCCATAGGGATAACAGTGATGGTGACGTACGAGCCGTAACTGCCCCAGCATTAGTATTAGTATTATTATTATTGTTTCCATGTGAAGCTGCTTGATCCTTGTTCACCAAATTGAGGTTCCCCTGGACTTCAGCCAACGGTAAGGGGCATGCCAGATCTGCAACTTAAAACTCAGTTAACTTTGTCCTAGTACCGCCACTACGGGCAACACTTAAAAACCGCAATTTGCAAATCAATTTAGGATGGGACAAGATATTACTGGCTAGTACGTTACTAACCGGTGAAGGAGCGAGAAGAGGAAGGATTTGAAGCCGCCTTGGCTGCAGCTGAGGCAGCAAGAAGAAGCTGCTTCTTATCATCTGCTTGTGAAGTTGGACCGATCCCAAGGCTTGAATATTTCCACCGTCCCTCTAAAACATCTGAGCTCTCGCTGACACTCCCGCTTAACACCCTATATATATGTATGTATGTATGTATATATGTACTCCCCATGCATTATATTCCAAGTAGCACGGAAACGCCAAGTGGGAAACAAGTAACATGAAACGCGAGAAATACAATTTCTAAGTTTGAAACACTTAAATATTGAAAATATATAAGGATATATTTAATTATACGTATTTTTTCATGTATCCTACACACATTTTTCATTTATATATATGAATATTTTCTTCTTATAATTTTGTTTGAAAACCAATACTAGTAATAAGTACTATGGTACATTCTACATGTCAAATTTATAAACTATTACACCTTACATATTACTCCCTCCGTCCCCCTATAATTGTCTCATTTTTCCATTTTTGGATGTCCCTTTATTATTGTCACATACCATATTTGGTAGGGGTGAGTTCGGTTCTTGCGGTTCGGTTTTGACCTAAAACCAAATATAGAATCAAAGTAAAAAGTTCGATTCGATTTCGGTTCGGTTCTACACTCCAAAACTTGGAACCACGGTTTGATTGGTTTGGTTTGTTTCGATTCGGTTTCGGTTTTTTCGGGTTTTTACCAAAAAATTATCATTTGATTTAAAATTGATATAATAATTTGAGGGATCAAACATATATTACATAAAGAATGCAAGCACACTACAACAAATAAAATAAAAATGAAAATAAATAAATATGTCATGAATTATATGAGTATGAGAGAGAGATAAAAGTATATATTATTAATTTACATTGTTTGTGACTAGTTCAAAAAAAGTTCATGAGTATATATATACGTTATATGTGATATAGTTGAGATAAATATTTATTGTTTCATCAATATGAATTCTTTAAGTTAAATAAAAATAAAAGTTAATTAATACAAATAACAAGTAAAAACATATTATCAGTATAGCTACATTATTACGTGCAATGAATGTGTAAATGAATTCACAAACTAAACTAAACATAACAAACATTATTTCTCTAGCACAAGAAAACCAAAAACTATTAATGATATTAGGATTACATAGGATTAATGCTTAACAATGGACAAATAAATTTCACTCCGTATATTTTAACTAGTTCGGTTTGTTCGGTTCGGTTCGGTTCGATTTTGAAGGGTAAAAACCAAAACCGAACCAAACAACTACGGTTCGGTTCGGTTTTTTTACATTCGGTTTCGGTTTGTTAGCGGTTCGGTTTTATTTGGCTACGATTCGGTATGATTTGATTCGGTTTTCGGTTTTCGATTTTTCGGACCCAGCCCTAATATTTGGTAACATTTGTGTGACTCTAATTCATTCTTACTTTATTTCCACTTTATCAACTCATTACCAACCACATAATTCTACTTTTCTTAAAAACCACACAACTCCCTTCCGTACCAATATTAGGGGGACGGAGGGAGTAGTACATAATTAAACATAAAGCTTAATCCGTTTTGAGCAATATATAATGTTATGAAATACCACATTTTTGCTAGGAAAAAATCTCATAAAAAAATAACTAAAGTTATAATACAGACATTATTTTCCATCCTCGAATTAAAAACTAGGAATCCAAAAGTTTCCAAAACCTTAATTATTTAGGGAAACATTTTTCAGTGCTTAATTACGGTGATAGCCTCAAAATGAGATTTGGAAATTTCTGAGTTTCCGACATGCTTTCGAGTTTCCAAAACAGAAAAACATGAGACCCTGTGCTTCGTAGATTATATACCATGCATGCGCTCAAATTTGAATTATAAATATGCATGCATGCATGATGCATGGTTCACAACATTTTATAATGATGGAGATAAAAGAAATCAATACATTTAGGGTATGTTTGGGAGTTTAGAGAGAAAAAGATTGGAAGACTTTGAAGGTTAGTCTTAGAAGGGGAAGGGATGGCCGGGAAGGAAGTTCTTCTTTTTGTTGGGGGTTACGGCGAATTTAAATAGTTGAACTTATATTCATTATTTAATTAGTTGAATCTATATCCTTCCCTCCAAAACTCAACTCCCAAACATACCTTTAGGGGCACATGAGCGCATCTTTGTAGAAGCGCAGAAGGTCATGCCCGTTCCCCTCCCCCCCCCCCCCCCCCCTACCCCACCAAATAAAAAGAAGAAGAAGAAAAATAAACAATTTTATGGTAAATTCCATGGTACCTTCAAGGTGCGGTATCTTATCTACATGGGTCAAATATAATGTCACAATTAAGCAATTGAAATAAAGCTCAACCCGTTTTTAGCGATGCATAATGTTGTAAAATACCACACTTTTGCTAGGAAAAAATCTCATAAAAAATCCGTACAAAGTTTTAATTCCATCATGGAATTAAAAAATAGGAATGTGGAAGTTTCCAAAACCTTAATTATTTAGGGGAACAAATTTTAATTCTTTTTAACTACAGTAATGGTCTCAAAATGAGAACTTGAAGGTCA